ACTTACAATATTCAAAAATAATAAATTATCTTTTGTAACAATCATTTGCAATGAATGAAAAAATCTTTTATGAGATCATTTGATAATCCAATAAAACTTTCTACTGTCAATATCTTTCAATTCTTCCTTTGCATTTTCGCTTTTTTTAATTAAGATTCCCGATCCAAAATAACTGAAATTGCATTCCAGCATTTCCAATACAGATAACTTAAAATTCCAAGTAATCCCAAAAACTTTGCAATCTCATAACTTGCAACAACATTCCAATCAACATACGCGTTGTGTATTCCAATAAGCAAGCAAACGTTTAGTTCCATTAACAAGCAGATGCCTTAATATTCCAAATGAGAGTCTCAACCCTTATCCCAGATAACCAGGATTTGAGAACGACCAGTAAACTTGAACAAGCGTGAAAACATGTAGCAGCTAATTGAATTTCTGGGGATTATGATTCTTCTGAGAAATGCGAGAGAAAAACCCTAATTCTTGATTTGTTGCCAAAGAAAGGTCTGTTTGATCAATTCCTGAGCCAATCTTAAAAATCAGAGAAAACCCTAGGGTTGTGATTTCTTGTGAAAAAGGGAGGACAAATTTTGGGGTACAACAGGTTCCATCGAAGATGGTAGCGGACCCTCGGGCTCTCACACTGGTGAAAATACAAAATCATTATGCTAGTCTCATTACTAGGGATACTGATGTTGTCCTTTCTTCTATTGAGTTTGTTGAGGCTCAGTGGGATGAACTAGGAACTCGTCTCTTTATTAATTCACTTAGATTTGTAATGGTCGGGAACCTAATTTTAAGGAGGTTAGGGGTCATCTCTACTTTTTTATACATTCCCTAATTCATGATATGCATTATATTTTTCATGATAGTTTGGAAAACATTGATTGAAATGAGCGTCAAGGTCTCGTCATACCTACTGATGTTGTTCATTAACATTGGGTGGAGGTGGAGTTATTAGGAACAATTTCCTTCTTCAACAACACAATGAAATTGGAGGATACTTTTAGAGATGTGAGACCATACTCTTATTGGTATGCTTCCCATATCGACCCCAACAAAAGGATTTGTAGTTCTTTTAATTTTGCACCATACATTTCTATAAATATTTTCTTTTCAGGTTGGGATTCAAGTTTCCATTTAACAACTTCGAGGAGGGGGTGTTGAACTACTTGATAATTATCTATCTCTCAATTACACATGGTAGCTTGGGCATTTATCAAAGTGTTCCAATATTGGTATGAGTAAACGGAGAAGGTGTTAACCTTGAAATTATTTTTCCATCTCTTCAATGTGACGCACACTTTGGTCAACAAAGACCAGGGATAAGGGTTGCTCTCATTTTCCAATCGTTGGACATCTTTGATGTCTACCTTAAGAATTGGAAAAACTTCAAGGATCATTAATTTTTTGTGACCCCCCAGAATCAAGAGGATTTTTTTTTTGCATCATTCTAGAAGGAAGTCCTTCCCTCTCTCCCACTCCCTTGTTCGAAGCGGTTGAAATGTAAAGACAATATTCAGAAGTTTTGGTCTCGACGCCATTTCTTTTGTGCTCCAGAATATATGCCTACGCCTATAAATCTTTGACCCCAGAGGAAGAGTCATTGAAATATGACTTAGCCTCATTATAGGAGAGTTTATGTTATGAAGAGGGAGATAGACCTTCAAACGCGTCACCCTCATAGCAAAAAAGGCGATATATTAATACATGAACAATTGTGGAAGTGACCACTTCCTTCGAGAGAAAATATCTTTTTTGGTGAGGAGAGGGAATTATCTTTATTTTTTGCCCTTATTATTAAAAAAAATTATATTGATTGTATTCTTATTTTATTTTTTTGCAAATAACATGGGCGTCTTGAGGAATATCTTAAAGAGGCTGGGGAATATCTTAAAGAGGAAGAATGACCACATTGTCAAGGATTCTCTTTTGTTTCCCTCTCCGACTCCTACTATGTACTTGGTTGAAACAAGAATATATGTGGATCCAAAATAGAATGAGACTTCACTTGTTAGGAAAACACAAATGACTTGGGTCATATGGGAAAATACGATAGAGAAAAGGCCTTCATCCTTTGAAATACAAAGTAAGATGTTTTAAGATCAGTCCACATCTTCCACTAGTGAAACCGCCAAGAGGGGTCATGGAAAAGGTCAAGATTTGAGGATAATCCTTCCAAAAGACCTAAGTCATTGAGGCATGCCTCTTAAAGGGTAACCATGGCGGTGATTCACCTGCTCCTGCCTCCTTCAAACTCCTAGATATCTTTATATCACGAGGACTCGTTCTATCAAGGAGGTGTAGTCCTGCATCCCCTAAGGGAATTGTGCCTACATCTGGAACATCATTAACACTACTAAGTTTGAGTTAATGGATGAAACAACCTTTAACATGTATCAAGGTGCTTATTTGTTGTCCTTGGTGGTTGTTGGTCGTGGTGAGGTGTTCTTTCCTAGGAATATTTCTAAGGAGAGCATAGTGCCTTGGTTGAGAATGATAAATCCCTTGGAAAATTCCATACTTATTTGGCTAACTCTGAGACGACCATAGAGGCATTGGCTTCCAAGGTCAATGAGGTTGAGGAAAACCACCATAAAAAAGAGGGAAGACCACTTCAAAGAGATGAATGCTCACGAAACTGGTTGGCTGAGGCAAAGAAATATTTTGATGTCTCTATCGATGATATCATAAATTTTATCCATGCCACCTTTTTAGAATGCTCTCGTCCAAATGGAACTCTTTTGTCCCAACATAGAGATCCATCAGGAGTTGTTGGACCTAGGGAAGGTAGTTATGAATGGGGAGCTAGTTAGTGACGACGAATGAGCCTTTTAAATTTGTTTAATAATGCTTGTAGTTTGCAGTTGACTTTGGCGATTGTAATAATATTTTATCAAATATATCATAAATTTTCTTTTTTATGAATCTACTCCTTCATTACTGAGTTTGACATACTTGTTCATTATTTAGCTTTACATGACTTTATTCTCTGCATAATATTCCATAATTTTATTTTATCATGTGTCTTTCTATGATTTTATTTCATCATGTGGTCTTCAATGATTTTATTTCATCATATAATATTTAATGATTTTATCTCATCAGTTATGCGCCTGAGTTGTAGGCTGAAGTGTGTTTTGACGTCTCTAGGGACCGTGCCCATCCTAAAAATTAGTATAATCCGTCAAAACATTTGATTCTTGCTTCATTCACCGTCTTCTTGATCTCATTCTCAGCTTTCTTTTTTCTAAGTTTCGTCATTTTTACACCTAAGTCATTCTTTAAAATGATTATTTTTTACTCCAACTTTACTCCGAACCCTTTCATTCTACCACCATAATTATTTACTCTTAGTTCTAGAACCTCTTGATTCTCCCAATGTCTCTTTAACTATTTTTCAAATCTCTCTGACCATCTTATTCCATATATCATTATACTTCTTTCTGATTGTCCAAAACTTCCCTCCAAGATCTTGTGTTGAAAACTTCCTTATTTTTCTTTATTCAAATATCACTATTAAATCTGAGACGCTCCCATGTGACTTCTTCCCTTTACTCTCCTCTTGATTCTTACATCCATAACCAATACTCTATGTTGATTAGTCAAGCTCTCTCTCAAAAAAAATTTACAGTCCAAAAATATCTTCCCACATGCCTTCTTAATAAGAAAGAAATATATCTAAGAATATGTCACCTCACTGTTATATGTGATAAAATGCTCATCTCGTTTCCTAAATCAAGCAAGTATTAGCTATAGTAAGATCAAAAGCTAAAGAAACTCTAAGATAAACTTATCCTTTGTTTACATCCCTGAAATCATAACTCACATGCATGTCATCAAAACTTCTTGATATGCTCCATATATGTCTATTTAGATCTCATTGTATAAAAAGCTTCTCTTCTAGAGATATATCATAAAATAAACTTTCTAAATCCTCTCAAAATTTTGTCTTAAGGTGTTCGGCTAACCCAATCTAAGATGCATATAAACATTAAAAGCGTTAAAGATTCTTGATCGAATACAAGTTTCAAGGCTATGATTCTATCTCTTACTTTTTTACATCCATAATATCTTTCTTCCACTCATTATCCACGATAACTTCCACCCCATTTCTTGATCTAACTTGATCTTTCTCTTAACTATAATATCTATTATTTTCATAAATTTTCCAATGAGTGTGCATAAATTCTATAATTCAAAACAAATCTTACTCTCATAAATTAACTTCTTTATCCATACCCATTCATGAAAATGTGAAAACCTTTTATTTTCATGAAAATGTGAGAACCTGGCTTATTTTAGCTTATATGTTGCTTACTGACACATTCCCATTATTTGTAACTATTTCTAACTGATAAAGTTTAGCGTAACTAATACTATGTGATAAATAAGGTCTAGCAAGTGCGTGGAAATTTTATATTATGAAATGTCTTGAATACTGAAACATTCATTCCAACAAAACTTAGTACCTAGAGCATTTCTTGTTACAGAAACCTCGCTACCTAATTCACACATTTCAATTTTCAAACGTTACATTTTAAAAAAAAATATGGGATATGTTAGAAAAAAAATGTAATATAATTAAGGGTTTATTTGAAAAAAAATAATTAATGTTCTTTAAAAGCTGAAGAGGATCTTATAAAAAAGAATAAGAAAAAAACTCAAGAGAGTCAAGACGGATATAGTGTTTATGAATACATGTCTTTTAAATTCTTAGAAGAAACGTGCAATCTCAAAGGTTTGATCATGACAATTTGGTGACTTGAGCTTTCTGGCATTTTATACTTAATTATCTAACACTAACAAGCAATATTGAGTAAGCACACATAAAAATGAAAACAAATACCTCGAAAGTTATATACAATCATGGTAAAAGAGATTAAAAACCAAATTCTGCAGTATGAATGTAAGATGATAAAGAAATTCTAATGCAGAAAAAATTATTCAGTCATATAATCCATCTGTCACAGTTTCTAGCACAACAAGCTCCTCTTCTACACATGTTCCCAGTCTGTTGCCAAGCCATCAAAGTGATAATTGGGAGGCTGAAATTCGTAGGTTCTATCCCCCCAATCCAGGTGAATCTCCTTTGGAGTTGATTCATCCACAGCAGTGTAGAGTTTGAGATTAGCATTCAAACTTTCACCCTCTAATGCATCTTTTGTAATTACTGTCTCCTTTATTCCTTCACCAGAAAATTCAAACAATTTCTCTGTTGAAGATACAGAACTTGAATCTTCAGCAGCCCGGGACTTGAGAAAATGAAATCTAGCCAAAACAGATGTCTCATATTCAGCCATGTTTTTCCCAGGAATTAGAAAATCCGGAAAGAAATTGACCTGGTTTTGATTATCTGCTTCTTGAGCTGCCAAGATGTCTGCTGTGTGCGATGGTGTCTCCAAATCATTAGCGTTGATGCACGAATTGTCATCCCTGGATTTAATAACATTGTATCTGGCCATAACAGAAGCCTCGTCATTTCCAGCCACTTCCTTGTTTATGCCAGAAACAGCATAATTGTGGATGAAATTATACAAGTTTTGACCACCATCTGCTTCAGGTGTCAATGAATCAAGCCTGTTCATATCAGAAGAAAATTTCGACTGGGAAAGTTCCTTTGGAATGGTAGCAGCAGAAGAATCAGAGTTTAGACATTTGTTAACTTCAATTGCAGAACTCTCACTCCTGCTTAAACTAGGAATAACTTCTGATTTTGAATGCTGCTCCATGTCTAAAGCATTGTATAAGATACAAAAAGAACATTAGCTTAAAAACTGAAGGATAAAAATGGGCCAAATTGAGACTAAAAACAAAATGTCAACCTCTTTGCTTGTATGACTGTTTCTCCATTTCAATCTTCATTTGATTGTAGCGATTTTTGTAAGAGACGGAACATAATGCAGCCTCAGCCTCAAGCCATAGATTTTTATACAATAGAGTCTGAGACTCTGTTGCTTCATCATCATCAAAATTCTCACTAAGAATATTCTTTATAGCCTATAAATCAAAAGTAGACCAACACGCGTGATTTTTTCAGTACTGCTATAATATCCCCACATTTCTAGACATGCATTAGTTAAGAGAAAAATAACACTGAATGAGATATCAAATTACCTTAGTCATGTTCTCTTCCTTTGTCATTTCTGCACCACCGCTTAGGGAAATGAAGCCTGAAGGCATCCAATGTGGCTTCTCAGATCTAAAACAGAGATCTGCCTTTTGAGCAAGCTGATTTTCAGGCTCATCCACAGAGTACTCTGGTGCTATCTTGGTTAATTGGACCCCCTTGAAACACACATTTGGAGAACATAAACAGGTAAGATAGGGCTAATAGTTTTAAAAAAAACATGTAAAACAATACTACCTTCTTTAATATCACGGAACCAAAAAAACCCAGAAGCCTTATCCCCATCCCTCCAAAAATATGGGTATATAATGTCTACATACTGAGTTAGAAGAAAAATACTATAAACTTAATCTATAGCTACATATATCTCTTTTCTGTTATTACATTTTACAAAATAAGTATATGTATCAATCTTTGTTATAGGTTTCTTCTTGCAACGACTCTGGTGTTTGATACTTTTCAAGTTGAAAAATGCAGTCGCATGCTTGCTAACATATAGACTGGATTTCTTGCTCAGAAATTTACAGTGATATCAACCATGCTGCATCTCATTATCTTAAAATAGACAAATTTTATATTAAACATGAAGATACAGCATGCTAACCTTTGCAGTAGAAAGTTACATTGAGATGGGTTTTTGACAACCAGTTCTAACTAAGATCCACACCGCTAACAAAATATATTTAAAAATTGAACTGAACTAGATACCTATAAAATTGATTCCCAATCTATCTTTCAGAGGACAACACATAACATAGTAAAACTAATTCTCCTCTATATCAATAGCACTCTTCTTTGATCATTCTCTCATTCTCACTATTTTACATACCACATAAGCAATCGTTAAGCTATATAACAAAACATTTTTAATCCAAACACGTGTCACAGGAAAACAAACGCATCAAAATCACTCTAATCACATGAAAAGTAATGATTACAAGGCCAAATATTTCCTTGGTGACTTCATGTTTTTAAAGCTTCAAAAAAGTTCAACAATATAGAAGGGGACTTTAAAGTGTATATTCAGTAATTGCACTGTTTGATACAAAATTTAACATCATATTGAAAAAGGGTCAATTTACTACGATGGCCAGCAAAGGTGTTTATAGAAGTCTGGAAATTTTGTCTACTATGCTATGTTTGGATATAAATGAATTTCAGTTTTTGTTAAATTCATATCATCAACCAGTGAGGCAATTAAACAATATAAATTTTCAATAACTCCATAACCTCTCTGCAAGGCTGTGGGTTATTATTGAATAGAAGAAATAATTACATACCTGTTGAAGTTCACATGATTCTACAGCACATCTAGAAGTTTCTGGCTGACGAAGAAAACATTCTTGAGCCAAGTTAATTCGCTCAGCATTCTTCAAAACACATGTATTAAGATTGGTGATCACATCTATAAGGATATTGCAATTTTGTTCTTCCAGCTCAAAAGCATCATTTAAACAATGGTTAAGAAGCAACTGTGAAAATTTGTTCATGGTATCAACCAGCATCTGGGCATTTAATTCCTCAGTTGATACTTTTGCGGCTGATTTTTCAGATGTAGTAGATGCATCTTCCACTGAAGAAGACAAAGACAGGGCATGTCCTCCGGTAAGAGATGTAGCAGACGCTGAGCATATATTCTCATTGCATCCGGTATCTGCACCACCAAAGCATAAGGTATGTAGTTTTTGAGACGCCAATTTGTTTTCCTCTGTAACTTGATGCTCGTAATGAGAAGATCCATACTCACAGTCAATTGGCTTGGTTGGTGGTACACTATTATCCTTCATTTTGGTAATATCATCTTGATATTGAAGCTCGTAATCACAAGATGGCTCAGAGTGAAAAGGTCCAGCATTCACTACATTGCAATCAGCAGATGCAAATCTTGCTTCTGAATTTTGTTTCAAGGAAGAACCCACTGAATATGTTTCCTGATCAGCAATTTGAATGTGCAATTGGAAGCTGCTGTCACATGGCTTTTCGACATTATTTTTGCCATCAAGAAGAAAACTCTGAGGCTCCCGAATAACAGAACCACAGCATTCATTTTTAGGCACATTTTCAGGAGGAAAAACCTGAGAAGATTCATAATAAGAAAAATGAGCAGCAGGAGCTCCTTTCCAGCAAGGTGAGTCTACAGAGGGATTACACGGATCACCAACACACTCAAAAGATTTATCAACAGAATTAACACCCTGAATAGCATTGAGTCCCAAACTTAAAAGACCTGGATTTGGCTGAAGATATGGAAATTCATGTCTTGCTTTATCTTTATAATCCACAACATCCCCTGAATCATTCATGTCTGAAACCATTGCATTGTTTGATGAGGAAGCTTCATTACTATCTAGATTCATGCAGAGATTTAAACCAAAGCAAGCAGCAGCCTCGTTTATATCATTGAATTTTTTGGGTCCAGAGCTTCCATCTGGGACAAAAATGCCAAGGTTTAAATCTGTGCATGATCCTGTTATAGATGTCGAAGAAACAGTATCAACTCTTGTTTGTTTATCTTGCTGCCCCAAGTGTTTGTCATATACACCAGTATATGAAAAGTGATGGTCCCCTGAATCTACAGCTAATTTCAAGGGGGCCTCATGATGAGTCTCTAGAGACAATGGAAGAGAATGCAAAATCGATGTATGTGAAAAATCAACCGGCATGGGTTTGGTAGGTCTCCACCAGCAAGATTTATCATCAACACAATCCCCACTTGTAGGCAAGCTATGTTTCTCCCAACCAATCATATGTGGAACCTCACCATGACCATCAGTTATATCTTGACACCCAGCATTTGGGAGTTTGGTAGTCCTCCACCAGAATGGTTTATCATCGAGAGGATCCGCACTTGTAGTCAAGCTATGTTTCTCCCAACCAATCATATGTGGACCCTCAACATGACTGACAGTTACATCCTGACACCCTGCATTTAAGAAAATAATAATCGTATTTATATAGTAGATGAAAAGTTGATTTTCTATTTAGCATCATCAAAATAAAATATTGCTTTTCTTCCTTAATGCGAAGAGCCGCCATACCAGCTGCTTTGTGGCGCTGTTATAGCGGATTATGAAGGAAAAACCCGCAATATTTACCATTGCGGCAAGCCCAAAAACCGCCATATATATTACGCCACGGCGCCGCTATTTAATAACACTGCTTTAAGTACGTTCTTCAATAATACTTTTCAATCATTGTTTAGTTAGAAACAAAGAAAGAGCATTGATCTTACCGGTTAGAAAGAAGGTTTACATTGAAAAATATTTTCAGAAGTTGTCATTTCAATTGGAGACAAAAGCCTCATTACAATTTGGAAGCCTTAATTTTGTATCACTGGATGACTGTAAAAATGCTTATCCAACAAAAAGTTGCATGCAAACTACTGTTTCAGTTATCTGTTCTCTTCTTCATGTTTGGTTATTTCAAATAAAGTATGTGTTTCCTTCATCTTTTCTGATTACCAATACATTATACAGTCTTTCTCAATAAAAAAAAGAGTCCCTAATGAAATTATACAAATACTATCAACATCCCATAATAAGCTCTTAAAATTTTCAAAAACCCTTTTGCATTTAATCAACTCTTAATTCAACAATTAATGAATTGATATACACATTGAAGAATGAAAATTCACTTTGAGTAAGCAACACAATGAGCTCAAGAAATCAGAAAAGCAGAAAAACAAGATAAAAAAATATACCTGACTTCATCCTTTCATCAGCAACAGAGCCAGTAAAATTAGTTTGATTCAATCCAAAACCACGCCCAACTCCAATCTGATTCCCTTTACCATTTCCAAAATCCGCAAACTGATTACCAACAGTTTGACCAGCAAACCCTAACCCTAACTCATTCGCCTTATTAGCCCTAACTCCAATCTGATTCTCTTTCCCATTCCCAAAATCCGCAAACTGCTTAGCAACATTTTGATCAGAAAACCCTAACTCATTCATGTTATTAGCATAATCACCTCGAGAAACCCCATCCGAGGCGGTAAAACCCGAAAACGAAGACCAATGATCCGGTACAACCGAAACAGAAACAGAATCGCGATCTTGATGAACCCCATACGAATTGAAATATTGTTGGGGTTCATATCGATCTGGATATCTATATGGGAACCCAGGGCGCGCAGCATCGCCTGGATCAATAAACGGAGGCGAAACTTCAACGGGAGAAGATCGCTTAACACTAAACGGTGTAGCGAAAGCTGATAAATTGGATGAAGGTGATGCGTAATAACTCCAATCGTTGTACGATCCAAAACCCTTCATAGCTTAACGATCTTGATTACGCATGAACAACGAAAATTAATCAATTAACCTGATAAAAAAAGACGAAAAAATCAAAATCATACAAGAAAAATGAACACGAATTTGATAGAAAGATTGAATTGCATACCTGAGGAAACTGCAACGCGAGTGAAGGTTTGAGTATGTCGCCACTGTTTTTTCTGAGTTTGTTTCGATGAAAACGAACTGAATCGTTTATATATAATAATTAAGAATACAGTATCTCTCTCTGTAGCTGTAGCAATTTGTTACATATTGAACGAAAATTGGGGCGAAAATCTGTGAGGATCTTTTTTTATTAATTTCTACTTTATAATATTTTTATTAGTTTGATATGTTTTGTTTAGAGTTTAATAACTTGGTCAAACGGTTAATGGTTTTGAATTTCGTGTTTAATTAAAATAAAATATTAAAATGAAAGATTAATTTTAATCAAAAAATCTTTTATGTTAATTTTTATTTTTCATGTTCATTATTAATTGGAAAATGATATTTTTTACACTAATTTTAGGTATTCAACACGGGTTATGGTCTTCTCTATTTTATTGAAGAAATCGAAAATGCTATTGATCTGACCTGATCAGAAGGTTTGGACCGTCACGGCTTACTCCGAGCTGAAGGCTTTTTGAACGAGGAGGGGGGGTACCTGCAAGGCACTCCGATGCTAAAGTCAGTGGGAGTACGAGCAGATAATAGAGTTGAGGTTAGAATGATGAATACCTGACCCTCTGGAAGCAGAGGGTATTTATAGCCCCCAGCGCTGGGCCAAGGTTCCTTCATTGGGCCGGGCGGATTTGGCCCAATGGAGGAACTGCCAGGTTCTACGTGGGTAGTGGGGACCAGCACGTGGTCCCCTTCCTGGATATGCTGCATGAAGTGCGGGCGGACGGAGACGCGGTCTTTCCGGAGTATCGTTGGGGCAATGGAGGACTAAGTCTGCCCTAGCAAGTCAGCTCGAGACCATGTCGAGCTACGCGACACGGTGCCGAGCTCGACGCCAAGACCTCGAGCTGGACAGCGAGGGTCGAGCTGGACAGCGAGGGTCGAGCTGGACAGCGAGGGTCGAGCTGGAAGCCAGGACGTAGAGCTGGACGGCAGGCTGTCGAGCATGACTTCATCGTGGGGCTGGACGCCGAGATGTCGAGGTGGACATCAGGGTGTCGAGCATGGACGTGACCCCCTTTGCCCAGTGTGGTCCTTAGTGAGTCCCTTTGGACTGGGCCTTAGTAATGCTTTTGGGCCTGTCGGGCCCAGTCCAGAACAGGAGCCCCCAAGTCGTGGTTCCTTTGCGAGGAGCTATGACTTGAAACAAAGTTGTTCCGTCGCTGAGGTCTCGTGCCCGGGATGGAGGCGTGGACCCTCGAGGGGTCTCCTCGTGCCGTGCTCGGAGACGTCCTCGGTGGTGGATGCGTGGAGGATCCGTGCCGGGCGCGTCAGTCGAGCACACGAGGCATCTTTCGGGAGTTGTGCCGCCACCCTAGGGGGGTAGGGCCATCATTGCGTTGGGAGCAGTGCGTCGAGGAGATGGAGTCCGTGGCTGAACGAGGTGACGTTTGGTATTCCACGTCATCACTATAAATAGGGTCCTTGGGGCCCCATAATACGTTTTCCGTTCTCCGTGCTCTCTCCGTTGCCGCTCTCAACACTCTCTCCAATCGTGACTTCCCGTCTCAGATTCTTCATTTCTTAGCCAAATCCCAACTTTGATCCAAGTAAGTGATCTATTTTCTTCATTTTTCTGTTTTAGAATGCATGATTCTTGGAAATTGTAGATGTTTTAGGACCGTTAATGTTGGGTTAGCCCGGTAAACTTGCGTTTTGCCCGACAGATTTATGTCTAGGGCCGGCAAACGCATACTTGTGGCCGACACATTCATAGTTTTAGGTGAAAAACTTCAGAGCTGCCCGGGGTCTTCATGATCCTGGGCGCCTGATTCATGACGGTGCCCGGTATGTTTATGGTCGTGGTCGTGGGCTTCATAGTGCGGCTCGCCATGTTCATACCTCGGGTCGACATGTTTGAAGAATGGTCGCGCAGTTGGTTTGAGGAAGAACACTGGGTTCAGGAGAGTCGGGGAGGCATCCACTTGTGAAAATGGACTTGTGTAGTAGTGTATGGACGACATGATTATGTCGAGCATAGGACTTCATGCTCAATCTGATTGGTTTCCCGTGCTCTGCAGGTAACCATGGCGGATGAGCCGAGCTCCTCCGGTCGTCGTGATAGCGAAGAACAGAGCGCCGACGAGTCGGCCAACCTTATAGACACCGTGACCGACCCATCACTGGAATGGGTGGGCGCCGAGCCTCGGGGGACGGCGTCGATATACAGTCGGGATGACCGACATCCATTCACCGTTATCGAAGAGGGGCAGGACCAGCCCGACTTCCAGCAGAATTTCGTGGTCATGCTGCCGTCGACCAACGCCAGAATTTGTTCAATGTACCCGGACTACAGCTTTGCGATGTACGAGATCGCGTTTAAAGACTTGGGGCTGCGGCTGCCGTTCACAGACTTTGAGACCGGGGTCTTTACGCATTTGGAGCTGGCCCCGTCCCAGCTACACCCAAACTCTCTCGCCTTCATCCGGGCGTTTGAGCTGACGTGTCGCTACTTAAGGATAGGGGCGACCATCCCTCTCTTCTTTCGGGTATTCCATCTACAGCGTCAGTCCCGAGGAGGGAAGCACAGCTGGGTGTCCCTGAAGCAGTCGAGGAGACTGTTTAGGATGTACATGGACTCTGTGAGGGGGTTCAAGGATAAGTGGTATGTGGTACGCCCTACTACCGACTCTGCTGTAGATTCCCTCTTCGAGGAGGAAGGGCCGGTCAGCGATGATGACGGGGAAGCAATGTTGGCCGACGACGGGAGCCCCGTGTTAGGACGTCGGGCTATGTTCCCGGTGTACTGGATGTCCCGACACTTCGAGCATGGAACAGGTTATTTCCATACCGCAGTCGGGGACATGTGCACGGAGGATCAGCGGGCGTATGAGGCTCTCTGCAACTTTGTCGACAGTTTTCATCCCGCCCAATGGGTTACGCGGGAAGGGAATGATATCCTCGACAAGGACGGTTACCCGACATTCGAGGCTCGCCCGATCGACACCAAGGCGATGGTGGAATGTTCGACATATAGGCAGGCAGCCCGCCTGTTAGGTTGTTTGTTTGAAATTCTTTACTCGTCATTTATTTACGCGTTTTGCTCGATACTGACTTTTCTTTTACTTCGTGCAGGTACGATGGCCAGCCGACATGAAAGGCTCCTGAAATTGTCAACCGGCCAGAGGCGAGGTAAGAGGGTCGTGCAGCCCCCGCAAACGACGAGAATGGGACCACCGCCCAGCATGAACGTTCCTCAGCCGGTGAGGGTGGATTCGACGTCGAGCTCGGGAGCAACGTCAGATCCAGAGGTCGAGGAGATTGACGCCAGCGCCGTTTTGACGCAGAGGAAGAGGACCCGCGTGGAAGGCGGTTCGACTGTCGGGGGAGATGCCGGTGCTGTTCAATCCTTTGCCTTCCCCCCTTGCTTCGAGGAGGAGGGCTTTTTCGAGCGGTTCCCTCCGACCGTGGTCGCTCATGAAGCCGAGGCCATAAAGAGGATGACTAAAGAGGAGAGGAAGTCGCGGCTGGTCGCCAGCGTGGACGGGCTGGTTAAAATGGCCGAAATGGCTCTGGTGTTATCTGAGGATGCAGGGGATGCTGCTCATGTTGAAGAGCTCGAGCAGGAGAAGGCGGCCTTGACTGCGAGCTCGCGGAAGTTGAAGGTCGCTCTGGAACGCTCCGAGGGGATGTTCCAAGAGCAGACTGCGATACTTGATGCCGAGAGGGAGATGCTGACCTTGGAAAAGGAGAAGTCGGGGAGGTTGACTGAGGAAGGGGAGTTGCTCCGGACCGACAGGGATCGTTTGGCTGCTGAAGTCGAACGCCTGGGTAAACAGGTTGAGGAACTGAATGCTGTTCAGCAACCCGCCGAAGATGAGCCTGAGGACCTAGTGGTTTTGAAGAGTCGGGCTGAGCTTATTGCCCATATCCGGCTCCTCGAGGCGGACGCAGTCGGTGCTCTGGAAGACGGGTTCAATTCTGCAGTCGACCAGCTCTCATTGCTAAATCCCGGCCTGGTCACCGAGGGCATCGGGCACACCCACCGGGTTGTAGGTGGCGCGATCATTCCTCCGCCCGACTCTCCCAGCGTCGACAATGATGATAATGTGGAAGTTTGATATTTGTATTCTTTGGATAGCGGGCCTGCGTGCCCTTGATATTTGAATTTGTATTCTTTGGGCCTGCGTGCCCGTTCATTGTATGTTTTGAACATTGTCGGCCTTCTTGGTCGGTTTAATATTGCTTTGTTGCCTTCGGGCGTTTATACCTTGTTATTTATTTTGGATTTTCTGCCCTTGTATGAACTCACATGCTTGTATGAATTTAGCTCAAGTCCCGGGCCCGAGGAGTGCCCGTAGGTGGCTCTGATTTGGCGAGCGACTATGCTCGTCTCTATTTGTGTGCAATCCCGGCCCTATTTTGGTTGGCCGGGGTGGCTTAAGCGTTGCGCTCGAGGGGAGAGGTTTTCTTTTGACCCTTGTAGATGTCCCGTTATTCTTGATGGAATGTCGGGCATTTCGGAGCGAGGTTGCTCAGTCGGGCGTGGAGCCCGTAGGGACGATTCGCCCTTGGCGTGAACTGCCCATCGCGAGCTGGGTGTTCTGCCTTGTGGGTACGACGACGGTGGGGCTCGGTACAGCTGTCCACGTCGGGCACTATAGATCGTCAACGTCTACCGCGCGATGCCGTGCCATTTTGGTCGTGTGTCGGCCTGTACCTTAGCCTTAAACGAAGTTGGACGTTTTTCCTCGTTGCCCGAGCATGGTTGCTTTTGGTCGAGGGTCCTAGGTGTTGACAGTTTCTAACTGTAGTACTGCTTCAACTTAGCAGCATTCCAGGGTCTTGGTAATGGCTCTCCGTCTAACTGCTCGAGGTAG